GCCACATGCGATCAAGTCGAGAGCAAACTTTGACTTCTATCCGCGCTCATGGGGGATATTTTTAAATGCGACTGTAGCATGTTGTAGCACATAGTCTTGGCTAACGTGCATAGTGATTCCATGGTCTTTCGCAGCTGAGAACTCTGAAATATATTGCCATAAATCGGTGCCAATAATTTCGGGACACCCTGTAAATAGACAGTGTTGAACAAACTAAGACTTGTAATGTCTCGCAATGTCCGAATACCTCAAAAAGTGTTTGAAAAGAACCCTGAAAAATTTACACCTAATGGCATTCTGAAGTGCCATTTCAGACCCTTATGAGGGTTCATGTAGAGCAGGCTACTCATTCTGCGCTATTTCTAAAAACTTGAATTCTTGAGGAGGAAGTTCTTGGTGAAAGGTTATCAAGCAGCATCGATGAGAATATGATTTCCAGCATGGGTCCTTGGTATGTTTTGGGTCGGTATATTGTCTCTATTCATACATGAGTGGAGGCTAATGTATTTCGCGTGTACAGCGCCTGGAATTCTGGCAATCTTGTACTACTTGTGAGTTATTAGAAGTATTCGAGCGAAAAGACAAAGCAAACCATTAAGTCTCTGGTGTTGTTCAATGCCGTTTTCGGATCCGCCCCACATTCCATTCAGAATCGTGATGGTGTTTGGAATGTGTATGTTATCTATACAGTCCTCAGATCACGACACTTATTGAAGGATGGAATGCATGGATGGCATGGTCGAGTGTCGATCCATAACTCGATCCTTGAATGCGTGCGTGACAGTGCGCCTTTGGTCACTACACTACCCCGTACCTTGAAAGTATATAAGTGTTGAAGAAAAGTCTTTTACAAACGTTTCGCTCGTAAAAATTCCAGTTTTCTTCCGGAATCGCCTTACTGGTCAATTCAACATATGGACTACAAGCGGATAGAGATTTATATAAAAAATGCGAATAAGTAAGTGGTATTGAAAACCTTGAATACTGTTGACATATTTCTGATTGAAGTGGTGCAAAACGCATCAGTCAGCTTCCTACATTAAGGTGGAACAATGTTGCAGTAGATGCTAAAGATTGTCGACGTGAAGGACCACCACCAGTAGAAAAGCGTGAAACTTGCGATGCAATCCTCAGAAGCTCAGCAATGCTCAAACTTCTATTCATCAACGGCTTCATAGAGTACGTTCCTCTTTTGATATTCGTGAATCAGGTAACTATTAAAGGCGCAGTTCACGAAAACTTCGGGTTATCCAAACATGAAGTTAAATGAAAGCGAATGTGAAGAATAACGCATGGAGGCGGGGGAACCACGAAAACCGGTATTTCCAAAGAGATAAACGTCCCCAGAAAAGTTGTTCAAAGGAACGGTTCACGATAAAGATGGTCACTCAGTTCTCCCCTTAGAAATACTAAAAGGCCCTCAAGGGTAATAGAAAGGGTCCTCACGCGCCCAAAAACTCGACGGTTAGGGCATAGTGGAAGCCCTGTTCCCGGCTCGCGCGGCCTTCCCATCCCTCGATTGATGTCACGTCAGACGAGTGTCGAGGCGATACAGATTGCAATTATTCGTTCTAGGACCCACACATAATCAGATGATCGCCGAGTGATAAGGCAATGTTTCTCTCACATACTTTTTCCCTCTGCTATTCTTTTTGCTGCCGCGATCCCTTACTTAATAATACCCCAAGAGGCTGAAAAAGGTGAGCTATTTTTGCTGATACTATGGGTTTTTTTACTTATGCTTATAAGTGAATGAATTTTTGCCTATCGAAGTCAGTTGTTTGCATCGGGACCCACACGTACACAATGACACACATTGTATAGCTCGTCCAAACGCCCCACTCTTCATCATTCTTCTGGTCTTAGTCTCGTTCAGCCCCCTTTTGAACGATTTTTTGAATTTTTTTCACTCTGGAATCACCTATCACGGAGTTCCTTCGTCTTCATCGCCCTATCTTCCATATTACCTTCCTTCTTTCGTCATAAACTGGATTACCCCAAAATTATCGTGAACTGTGCCTCTAAACGGGGCTGGACGAGAATGTGAAGAAATGACGTAGTAGGGGTGTTTGGAAGAGCTATACAATGATTGTCGTTGCGTACAGCTGACTACAGTGAGCAAGAATGTCTCTTGCTGTTGTTAAGTTTAGTCTTAAGTTAAAAAAAACACGATCTACAGCAGAAATAACCCACCTTCTCATCCTCGTGAGGTAGAAAACTGGAGAAATCATTTCAGTAGCAAAAAGTATGACACAGAATAACAGAATAAGGATAAAACATCCCTTTTCACTCGGCGATCAGCTGATTGCATGCTGAACATGTGGGTCCTGGTGCGAATACTCGTAGACTCTCGCCTGTCTGATATTCTATTGGCCGATGGGCGTGGACGTTGACGATTCCGGTGGTGAGGCTCTTATTATGCCCTATCTAATGAGTTTTTCGGCCCGACAGCGCCGTTTGTGCTACCCCTGAGGGCCACTGGTTAATCCCACTAGAAAATCTTATTAATAGTTCTATCGTGAACGGTGCCTTTGAGTCAATTTCCCTTCTTTTCGAATCATTCCCTTTCAAGGTTTGTTATGTCTTTCTATTACTTCGGACTGTCGTTGCTCTCTGTCGATCTCAGTAATGATCGCTTTACTGCCTATATGTTGTCTGCATTCGTTGAATTGCCAGGTGGGTTTTTAATCGGAACTATTAAAGGCTTTGATTGTGTTTGGGCGCCGGTGGAATAGAGGCACGCGCCTTCGTTGGCATTTGTATGACTCCAATTGAAGTCGGACCGTAGAGTTGAATATTTCTCCAGAGCTGATTCTTTCTCGCAATAATCACATGCTGGCGGAAGTCTCATACTCCTGAAAGAGGATGATTGTAGCCCAGGGCAAATATCCGTCAGCGGCGAAAAAAGCAACCGAAGAAAACCTAACGTAATTCGAGAGCGGCTTCATTGCGCATTTCATTGGCTTCAACGTTCATCTGTATCACACTAGATTTATGTATTTTTAGACTGTTTCCGTCACGATTTTCCAGACAGTCAGAAAATAAATCCAAAAATATTTAGGTGGATTGGCTGTGCTCCCGCTAATGTTATATACTGGTCGACGAAATTTGTGCATGGCAACACTGGCCTTACAGGGCTTTTTCGTCATTATTGCACCGTTTTTGAAACGTTCGCAGTTTTGGCTTGATCATTTTTTTCTCATAAGGATCAAACGAGCTACTGAACGTACGTTTTTAGATCCGCATTGGTTTATGGTTGGTTGCTTTCTGAGCGGAAAATTTATAAACAGGTCAGTAATGATATTGTCTGGTACAAAGTAATCTTTCACCCAGGTGAGATGCTTTTAGAAGAGCAAACACATCAACGACGAGTCTTTGACAGATTGTAATTTATCATTGCAGTATTACCTATTCGGTTCACTCCATATACATATCCGAAATGGCGCCAACCTCTGTACGGTCATTATCGTACTCGATAATCAATATACCACAAAGTATCGGGATTATTGTCGCACCTTACCTTCGACACGTTGTGCGTTCGATAGTATAATAATTTTAAGCTTTATATTTATCCTCATCCTCCGCCTCGATAATTAAGGAAGACTGTGTTTGCAGAGAATTGGCCCCGAGTACACGAAATTTGTCATTGTTGGCATACTAAGCTTAACAGCAGGAGCTCTATGTTTATTACTTCCGGAGACGAAAGATCGTCCTCTACCAGCGGATATAAGCAGTTTAACTGCGATTAATGAACATACCGGGGACATGAAAGAAGGAGAAGAACTCTTGAGGTCAGTCATCTTAGTAGAATTCATGACTGCCCAATCAGGAGACAAAATCATGCGTGTAAAAAGCATCCAGAGGTTGTTGTAAAAGGCATTTAGCTATATAACTTCTACCGTATATCCGTATATACCTATGGTAGGAACTCTGGCATAGAGCTGGTAATTAGGCTTCAGCAACAGCGCAGTTCTCTCTATAGTACGGTCGCAAGGCTATATGGAGCTTCGAATGCTTTAGGATTTTTAAAATATTTCCAAATTCCTTGTAGGTTTTTGGTTACAAAGGTGCTGAGGCAGAGTATTCCGTCGGTGACGAGAAGAAAAAATTCCTAGAACTTCCAAAATACAAAGCCTTTCAGAGCTAATCATTTCTAATGTTGAACAAGAATCGGGCAGTAAAGGAGTCGTTTGTACGGCATTTTATTCACTGCAGAGCAACCAGGACTAGCTATCCGCGTGTTTCAGCCACCGCATTTACCCCACAGGGTCTTCTTTTTGTATCATGTCGGCTATTACAAGACGTCAGATTCTTCTTCTTTTAGGAATACTGAGCAGTGGGATTGGGACCGTGTATTGAGCCATTCCTGAGCATTAAATATCCAGGCTCTTTTTGAACCGGCAATGTCCTATCTCGAGAGCCATAGATTTCTACCNTTTTTGTTCGCTGAAGCCTGAAGTCTATTTGTGTTCTAAAAAGAGTCTTAAGTCGTTTTTAGCGGGAACTTTATCTTCATGTATTAGATCTTGTCAGCTCCAACAACTCCTTGGACTTTACTGATTATGTAGCAATCTGAGTGCAAAACTCTCAATCCGTATTCCTTGTGGTTACGTCCTTAAAACCATGGCACATCAATGTCCGTTTTTATCGACAGTTTGCCATTTTCTGTTTTTTCGCTTCTGTCATGGATTCTTGACTTTCAGAAAGCGATCGGTTGAAGAGAAGAGCAGCACTGTTTCTGATGAGCATCTTTTGCATGAAGACTGATTCTCATTGTTCTAAGAATATAAAATCTTCTTACTATACTTACGCACACACACAATATTTGATGAATACCATTCTTCGTACGACTACACACTATACAGACTGTTCTAGACTTTTTATTGTTGAATTTTTCTAATTTGAAGTGTCGATCTTTGCCATGCGGATCCAGTAGAGGTCTTGGCCAACGACTGCTTCATATTCGCAGAAGTTGTAGTCCTAAAAATTAAGGCTATCAGCGTACAGATTTCAAATGTTCTGTGACCGGCGTCCTGAAGCTGCTGAT